TCCAGCTATTATTTGAGTATTTTTAATCACACCCTCAGCCCCAATGACATTGATGTTACTGCTAGTTTCTTAGTTTCTTGAAAAGAAAGGCTTATGCTAATATTGTTTGGACAATATTTCATACCTATATCTTGCACTCTGAGAAACTACTTTGAAGATAACAATGCACAATGTATTAATTATTTTTACTCTCCTATTATCTCATTTTGAAATTCTGTTTTATTTTTCTCTTTAAAATAAAAAATGGAGATGATGCAGACAGTAGAATTGTCTAATTTTTAAATCAGCCATGATAAAAATGATTTAAGGAGCATTTATGGATATGCTTGAAACAAATTAAAAACTAGAAAGTCTCAAGAAGGAAATAAAAAATAAAAAGAATAGGATAGAAATTGTAGAACACCCAAAATACAATAACTAACATTAATGTTAATGGGTGAACTCAGCAGGAAGAGGAGAGAGGAAAATATTGGTTCATTTGAAGATAGAAAGTAGAATTATCCCATCTTAACAAGAGAGAGAAGATTGGCTGGAGGGAAAATGAAAAAAGCCTCATTGATGTGGTATCACAACTAGAGGTCTAACATCAATGTCGTTGGGGCTGAGGGTGCAGCTCATTACTTGCCTACCTTGCATGAGGCTCTGGGTTTATCTCTAGCAGTACGTACACACACACACACACACACACACACACACACACACACACACAAAACCATGTCATTGGAGCACCAAAAGGAAAGGGAAAAGAGGGTGTCATTTTCGTGTTTCTTATGCTTGAGACCTGGTGAAAACTTTGGATGTATGCGTTTACTTATAGTCTTCATCGAATTTGGAAGTTTTTCAATTAGTGTTTCTCTGAGTATCTTCTTCCACCTTTGCCTCCCTTTTTGGGGACTCTATCTATAGAGTAGTCTGTTTGAGGTCAGCACTATGGGTTTGTTTCTTTTTTCTTCAGTTTCTATTTCATTTGAGATAGTTCCTATTTTTGTGCTTTCAAGTTCATCAATCATGTCTTTTACCAGTCCCAATCTGCTGTTAATCCTATCTATCTTGGTCAGAATTGGAAACTCTCTTTTGTCATGAGAATAGGTAGAAGAAAACATTTTAAAAGTAACAATTTTTATCTTCTAACTGTGGAAGAAGTTTTGGTAATTAAAAAATAAAGATAGAAACCATATAATGAAAACTTTAATAGATTTGAATATTAACTTAAATTTCTATATCCTGAAAAAAATGATTAATAGAATAAGAAACAAATGCCTATTGCTATCTGCCACATATATGGTAGCAAGTTAATGCCTGTAACATGTAAAATGAAGAGAACATTCATGCTCACTATTAACTGTACATAGATAATTCACCCAAGAGGAAGTAAAAGTGACAAATATAAATTAGAAAAAAAGTATCCTCATTATTATTTAAAGAAATCCAAATGAAAATTAGATACCATTCTCTACCTAGGCAAATAACACCCTTCTAAGACTGTGGCAGGTAGAGAACAAAGGGAGTAAAAATGATCCAGATTCAATATATGTGTCAATACTCTGAGCTGAATATAATCACTATGGATTTCAAACATATACTAATAAAGAACTGTTTTTTAAAAAGTATCTAAAGCTAGTGACAGGCTGTGAAAAAGTACAGTCAGATAAGAAGTCTCAATGATACAACCTCCAGGTGTGATCTAGAAAATATACTTCAAGGAATTTTTCCAGAGGAAAACTTTCAAAATACCAAGGTTTACAAATAATAGCATTCATAACAGTACTATTTATAATAGGGGGCTGGGGATTTAGCTCAGTGGCACAGCGCCTGCCTGGCAAGCGAAAGGTCGTGAGTTCAATTCCCGGTACCAGAAAAAAAAAAAAAAAAGAAAAATTATCCCTATGTCTTAGTTACTTTCCTTATTGCTGGGACAAAATACCCAACACCCATAATTTAAGGAGGAGAGGTTTACTTTAACTCGGTTTCAGTCCAGGGTGGGACTTAAATGCAGAAGTGGCATAGTGGAAGGCTCTGCCTCAGAGGAAAGTTGCTCATGTCATTGTTGTCAGGAAGCAGAGAGAGAAGGGAAGAACTGGGGAGGGAGACATATCCTTCCAAGTTATACCCCAAGTGACTGCCTCTTCCAAACAGACACCACCTTCCACCAGCACATTTGCTTCTGAACTTACTGGGATGAATCCACCAATGGGCATAGGACTCCATGATCCAATCATGTCTGAACATGAGGCTTTGAGGGGACAATTTCAGATCTAAACCATACAACCTATAAACCTATGCCATAAGGATGTTTGAGTAATTACCAGAATACAGTCAGGACTCCAATCTGCAGGCTCTGCATGCACAGATTCAGCCAGCCATGGATAGAAAATATTTTTTAAAATGCATCTTTACTGAATATGTATAGACTTTTTCTTGTCATTAGGATCTAAACAATAGAGTAGAACAACTATTTACATAGCATTTATATGTGTTAGGTATTAGGATGATGATGATGATGATGATGATGATGATGATGACAATAGAAAGCTGAATTAGGTAGAAATACATGTAGTCAGATAGGGATGGGACCTGCAGAGAGTCAGTACAGGAAATTAAGACTCATTACAACTGTGGCTGGAGGCACATCTGTGAGAAGCCAGGCCTTAAGATAAAGATGGAACAACCAGGCCTAAGATAAGTGGTAACATGTGGTCTAATAAAGTCTGGACAGACATCAATCACCTCATTGGGTGACCAAGACCCTCAGATCTTGGGAAGATCTTCCAAGGAAGATCATCCCTCCTTGAGAAGTACTTTCCATGTACAGTTGCTACATGACTTGCTTCCTCATTAGATCAATATTACCTAAGCGACTATACTTACAATGTTATTGGCTGATCAAAACTTTAACCCATGTGGTTGTGCACTATAAAACTTCCCCTGGAAAGTAGAGTCCTTGGTAACTCACTTGGAGCCCTGCTTGCCTCTCAGGAGCTGTATCTCTCCCTCTCAATAAATATTTCCTATTCTTAACCTCTTTCATTCCTTAAAATTCATTCTTCAATTTTGGGGAACACGAACTAGGTATATCAGATATCAAGCAGGTTGTGAGTTACAATATTTCCCTTATGTTATTTGGAGGTCCTACAAGTATCCCATGATAAGTATCCGAGATGATTTAAAGTATGTGGGAAGATGCACCTAGGTTGTATGAAATCTTACATCACTTACATAAAAGACATGAGCATCTGTGGATTTTGGTATTCAAGGGGTGGGAATGATGCCCTGGCAATAGTGCTCCATGGATACCCAGGGACAACAGTAATCCCACCACTAACGTCAATTTAATGTCAGTCTTGAACTAGAACCAGCTTTGCACTAACCCCCTCCACAACCCTTTGATATCAAGCTCATTATCATTCCCAAGTTTTGCAACTTCAGAATAAATTGCCCATGTTAACACTCTACCTGTAACTGGCAGAGACAGATTCCATCTCAGGCTTCTGTAGACAACCATAATCTGCTGTATTTTTTTTAACAAAATAGGGAAGTATTTACAGTATGATGCTCAACAACAAAGGAGACCCTAAATAGCTCCATGATTTAAAATGGAAAAGAATATAAAATCGATATAAAATGCACTATGTAGAGAAAGAAGGTGGTGGAGGCTACAGATGTGCTTCAGGCACAAGGGGTGAGAGAAGTAAAGTGTAGGTTCTGGGCCCTGTAGACACCAATGACATTTTATCAGGGAGTTGCCTGGCCTCCCTGGGGCTCCTGGAATGGCTTGGTCTGAGCAGAGACCACTATCCAGTGCAGACTTTTTTTGTCCACCCAGTACTGTGACTCAAATCCAGGGCCTTTGGACTGAGATGTATACTCAGCTCTTTAAAATTTTTAATTTTGAGACAGGATCTTACTAAGTCATTAAGTTGTCCAGGTTTGCTATCCTCCTGCCTCCCTCTCCCGGAGTGCTGGAATTACAGGTGTGTACCCCTATACCCAGCTGTGCTTCAGTCTTTGAATGGGAAAAAAAAAAAAAGTCTATAGGACCCAAGGGTTCTGTCAACTAGACCTCTCCAGCCCAGATCCTCCTATCTGTTGAAGAAGTTAAAGCCATAGTAGTGACTTTAGACGTTGACAAACAAACAGACACTGGCACCCATCCTGAGAGAGGGGGTGGAGGTCAGATGAGCTACAAAGGTCAAAGGAGCTATTGAAGATGTCTCAAGACAGAAGGCCTCTCAAGAATGGCAGCAGAAGCCCTGGGATGGGTCAGTATCAGCACCACCAACCCCTGCAACCCCACAGTCTCTAATGCACAGGTCTTCATCATTAACAGGGAAACTAAGGCCAGGTTACCAGTCCAGAAAGTTGACTGCTTGCAGGGGTGAATCTGTATCCATGTCTGCTCTTGACCACAGAGAATAGCAGCAGGGCCAACAACAGTGAAGCGAGGTGCTACTCAGGCCTCTCCTCACAGATTCAGTGGTACCCATGGCCTCACATCCAGGTCAGTGGTCAGAGACACAGAAAGTCCTGAGCTGTTGCCCTGGAGGCTTTGGCTTGGGTAAGAAAAAGTACTTGAGCTCTGTGCTTAGAGGTTCTGTAAACAGCTGCTGAATGGGAGGGAAACATTCTTAACTGTTTGAAAGCCAAAAGATAGAGAGAGTGTTGTTTTCCACTTCCCTTGAAATGAAATCTGTTATCTAGGAGCTTCCCAAGCCTCAATCCCCAGAATATTGGACACTAAATTTAGACTGTCGTTGGAAGATCAACGGGTCTCCCTGGGGCAGGGTCAGCCAGCAGCTGCTCAAGATAAACTGCTTTTCTGCCAACTCAGGCCTTTCTCTCATACAATTAATGAGATCCTGCGGTACTTCCCTTGGGAAGCCAGAACAATAGCTGTGAATGAGCAGGTGGCCATGGCCAGGCCTGCCTCAAGCCCCTCACCAGAGATCAGCATTCACGTTCCTACATGACTGTCTCTAACACACTCTAACCTTGGTTTGCAGGTCCTGGTCCACTGTGGAATTCTGGCTGTACCAGCTTCCTTCTGACCCGAGGCTGACTCTGAGCCCCATCCCACCCCTAGGATCTTTTATCTCTTTTTCATGTTGCTAGGGATGGAAGACAGTGCTTCACACTTGCTTTACCAATGTTCTACCACTGAGCCACATTGCAGCCCAAAATGCACCTGTGTATTACCAAGAATTTACACCAATGTTTCCTTCTGCTCTGCTGGGAACTTCTTCCCTGAATCCTGCTGAAATGTCACCTCTTTGTTGAGGCCTTTGCCACACTATTCCCTGAAAATATATTAGTTGATGGTTTATTGTCAGTCTCTTAAGCTCCCTGTATTGTGTGCTCTGGCACAGACAGGGCCTGGCACAAAGTAGGTGGTCAGATCTCCAATGAGTGGAAGGATGGCCCTGTCTTCATGCCCCTCTTGGATCTGGACTAGGCCACTTGGAGACCATCCTCAACCTGTGGGCAGGTTTGATGGAGGCAATGTCAGCCCTGCTGTCCTCCCAGGCCTCTCTGTACTGGTCCTCGCTCTACTGCAAGTGGGTATCTTGACCACACATGCAGCCTGAAATTCCACAACAGATCCTGGAGATACTGTGAGGCTGTTGTCAAAGAGACAGAAGCTCACCTGAGGCACTTCAGGGTGCCATGAATGGGCCCAAAGTGGTTGAGAGAGGGAAGGCAGATAGGCAGACAAAGGGAGAGAGCCTTGTGCAGGTTGTACCCCAGGGTGGAGACAGGATGATCTGAGAAGGCTGAGGCAGTTGACCCTGGAAGATGGTGGTATAGAATGTGGAGGGAAGGCTGGGAAAGGTCCCTGGACTGAAGCCAAGGGGAAGCAGAATTAACACGTGGATCCCTGTGGTAGATGGGTGAGGGGACTTGCAGGAGGACCTATAGAAGAGGAGTGATCTACAAGTCTGCAGCAGGAGAAAGACCTCCAGTGATACAATGGCTAGGAGGAGGCCCTCCACTCTGTAGGGAAAGGGCAGCTGCAGGCAAGCAAGGACTCTAAAAACTTCCCTGTACCCCAGGGCCAGCAAACTGGCCTTCAGCACCTTCCCATGCTAGAAGAATCAGGCACTGGCCTTACCTCATTTATCCCCTCAGAGCCATCTCCAACAGGGAGAAGGAATCTGGGGCCTAGAAGGGGGAGATGATCAGTCATGTCAGTGACTGGCCTCACCAAAGCCACTTACTCTGTGGAGAGCCTGAGCACTTTGAGCCAGAGGGAAAAATACACTCAGCAGCCTCAGTGTAGGGCTGGGAGTCCAGACTTAGCTGGAAACAAAGAGGCCATCAGGGGATGGGGAGGAGACTGCTGGAAAAGGGCTGGCGCCCCATGGGGCCAGGACCTAGTGCCCCCACCTGAGCCTTAGGGGGCCTGCAGCATACACCCCAGTGGACCTTTCAAGAAATGGCTGGGCTATTGTGCAGAAGAATGCCCGGAAATCCCTCCTCCAGCAAGGATGGGGGCTCTTCCTCCAGGTCAGGAAACTCCAAGTTGGCTTCCGGAGGGTGGCCTGGGGGCTGGGGTGGCAGGCACCAAACACTACTGGTGGGAGGGCTGTACCCAGCCCCTAGGTCCCTTTGTGTCTGCTGTCTGAGAAGCAAAGCAGGCTGCCTAGCTGGGGCCACTGCAGCCAGTGGGAACAGAGCCTATGAACTCTGAGGACTTTCATAAGTGGTGCTGACTAACCTGGGCTTCAAAAGATGGGGGATAAGCAGCACTACAGGAAGAGGAGCAGCAGGCCAAGCAGAGGGGTCTGGAAAGCCCCCACGCAGGGGCAGAGTAGGCATTGCCTGGATAAGGCCCCTGTACCACCTACTTTGTATCAGGGCCTGACCTCCAAGGAGGCAGCAGGTCATCTGGAGGAGGATGGGATCCTGAGCCTGATGCCTACGGGCTTGCCATCTCTGCCTGGCATGGCTCCTCCAGAGTGCTGAAGCTCAGGGAGCACTGGGGAGGGAGAGTGCAAGGAATAAACCTGGCTTGATCTCCAGGACGGGCTTTCTGGATAAAGGCCTAGCGTACCTTACTTCAACTGAGCGGAAGGACTTCAACAGCCTCTCCAGGCAGGCCTCTGCAGGCTGGTATTAAGGTGAGGTTGGCTCCTGCAGCGATGTAGGGTGGAGGGGGCAGTTCAGCCCGGGGGTTTTGAGCTCCGAAAGTGCGGGGGCCAGGACAAGCCATAGGTAGCTCGAGGAGTGAGCCTTGCCCCCAAGGCCAGTCCAGAACCTCTCGAGCTGTGACTAGGACAAGGGGGGTTGGGGTCTGCGGCCACTGGGTGCGGTCCCTGAGCCCTCAGCTATCCACACGCCCTGTTCTTTCTCTAACTTCAGATGCCGGGGAGCTTGCGATTGGCTGTAGGCAATGGCTCGTGCAAGGATTGGCTGCTGGAGTCCCGAGGGTGGGTCCAGAGGTGGCAGATCCGCCCCCGGAGACTTCAAATGGGGAACCTCCAAGAGGTACTAACAGACCCGAGGTGGTGCTGCAGACCCGCGAGGCAAGCGGACGGCAGGCGGAGATCCGGCAGCTCGGGCTAAAAGGGAGTAGCGCTCACGCGGGGCGCCGAGCCAACCAAAGCGCCGCCGCCGTGCGCAGGGCGGTCCCGGGACCATCCGGCGCACATCTCGCCTTCAGCCATGGGGTCCGCATCGTTGGAAATCTTGGGTCTAGTACTGTGTCTGCTGGGCTGGTTGGGCCTGATCCTGGCATGCGGGCTGCCCATGTGGCAGGTGACTGCTTTCCTGGACCACAACATCGTGACGGCACAGATCACCTGGAAGGGGCTGTGGATGACTTGCGTGGTGCAGAGCACCGGGCACATGCAGTGCAAGGTGTATGAGTCTGTGCTGGCGCTGAGCTCTGAGGTGCAAGCGGCACGGGCGCTTACGGTGGGCGCCGCGCTGCTGGCGCTGATCGCGCTCTTCGTGACCCTGGCTGGCGCGCAGTGCACCACCTGCGTGGCCGCGGGTCCCGCGAAGGCGCGCGTGGCTCTCACTGGCGGTGCGTTATACGTGTTCTGTGGGCTGCTGGCACTCGTGCCAATCTGCTGGTTCGCTAACATTGTTGTCCGTGAGTTCTACGACCCTTCGGTTCCCCTGTCGCAGAAGTACGAGCTGGGCGCAGCGCTGTACATCGGGTGGGTGGCCTCTGCGCTGCTCATGTGCGGTGGCGGCCTCGTATGCTGCGGCGCCTGGGGCTGCGCCGGCCGCCCGGACCTCAGCTTTCCAGTCAAGTACTCAGCGCCCCGGCGACCCACAGCCAGTGGTGATTACGACAAGAAGAACTATGTCTGATGGCGCGGGGTATGGCGGGGCCCCTTCTGGCAGCAAAGCCCGCGAACTGGAGGAGCGAGCAACCGGGGAAGCTGCGCGGGGACGGCAGGGTCGCACCCCGCACAAGCTTCACGGAATGTTGGGATTCCGTGCACCGATCCCACTGACCCGCAGCCTCAGTCCGTCCTCTCTGATTGCCACCATCCAGGCCCTGGCCTGCGCTCTGCCCTGAATAGATGACAAGCACTTGTGAGGACTTACAGGTTTCCTTTGTGGGCAGCACTGACCATGACGGGAGTGGAACTCTCGAACTCCATCCACTGCAGATGCCAATTCTTTTCTCGACCCGAGGGGGAGGAGTCTTGGATGCTGCCTTTCTTACCCGTGCTCCTATAGACTCGGAGGGCAGATGAAGACCCTAGGGTCCCCAGGCCGGAAGGATGTGTATAAAGAGCCTTTTCTTTTTCAGCGAGGGCCTAAGCCCAAAGGACCAAGTGACTTCACTTGGACCTGTGTGTCGCCTCAGCAGCCCCCCAGGTGAGGCTCGTGGACACCAGAGCCTGAGTGGGGCTGGGCCACTGCCCTCCTCCAGGCTTGGGGGAGGGATTGGGGAGGTAAAGAATTTGCTTAGTAAATAGCTTGAACACTCCCACCTGTGTCCTGTCCTCTGTCCAGTCACCCCTATGCCTAGCACCCCATTCACCCACCCACCCACCAGTTCCTTCCCAAAGGTTTCTGTAGAGATCTCAGGGATGGTAGCGCCTGGACACCACGAACTTTTTCTGCCTTCCCTGCCACCTGGTCACCTTCCCATCAGACTTGAAGACACAGCTCACTGCAATCCAGGAAAGTGGGAAGAGTCCCACGCTGTTCCATGGGGGAGAGGGGAGGCAGTCCCCAGCAGAGGACCAGGCTGGGCACCCATGGACCTGCCACTAAAGACTTGGTTTTGCTTTTTTGTTGTTGTTGTTTTGTTTTTTTGGTACTGGGAATTGAACTTGCAACCTCATGCTTGCCAGGCAGATGCTGTGCCGCTGAGCTAAATCCCCAGCCTCCACTAGGGACTTGGGAAGAGGGAGGGCTGAGTGTGGGTGGATAACCAGGCTCCTGGTTTCTTCCAGGAAAGACCCACTCCCTTACATACACCACAGGGTGATGTTTCCACCTGCCCTCTAGGGCTTGCTTAGCTCTGAGTACTATACCATCTGTACAAAGCCAGAGGCCCTCAACAGTGGATAGGAAGGACTGAATCCAGGATGTGGGCTGGTTCTAGCAGGGCTTGCTGCAGGTCAAGTGTTGCCATGGGGAGGGGCCCGTTGCCCAGAGTGCCTGGGCTTGACTCCAGCCTCTTGTGCTGGCTCCTCTACCAGTCACAGCATGGCTCCAGGGTCTGTGCTCATCCTAGACTTGTGCCAGGCATCTGCACCTCTGTGGTGGCCCTCCTGGAAGCACCCTAAGTGACTTAACTACTGGGGGCCAGGAAAGTAGAATCCAGTAGGGGGCAGCTCCCAGGATGGCACAGCTATTTGTTATAGTCACTGAGCTCACTGTTTCCAGCTCTATTCTAGACACTGTGCATTTTTTCCTTTTGCCCAAAGGCCAGCAGCAGCAGAGAACAGTAGATGGGGATGGAGACTGCAAGGTGCTCCAAGTCAGCCAGCAGGAAGGTGTGGCATCTGCCCCAAGCCCTGGCCTTGAGGATCTGTTCAGAAACACCTGGGCCATATCCAGTGGCACAGTCTCCCAAGCCTGGCCAAGTTTCTCCTCATGGGGAAGAATTCTCGGGATATAGGTTCATGCCAAATTTGCAAACCCATTGGGGAGCCAGCAGTTGGGACTTCCAAGGGGGCTAAACCCTCCAATGGTGTGAAGCTCAACAATGGGATAAGCTACAGAGAGGTCCTCAGCAGGGCCTGACCTGCAGCCCCACCTCAGCCTGTACAGTGGGGACTAAGAACAGCCCCAGCCTAGGTCATGTGATCCTGGAGTCATGACCTAGGTGGGACGAGAAAAAAAGATCCTGATACATCCGGGGCTGGGTAGTGCAGGGGCCAAGATGTGTAGCCTGGAGCTGCCCCAGGGGCTCATCCTACACAGTTCCTTTCCAGGAGTACTCTCTGCATTCCAGGTGGTTACACAGCTTAAAGCTTTTCCAAATGGCCAGAGTGGGTACCTGAGAGCCCCGAAGGGCAGGCTACCATCCACCTGACTCATGCTGGGAAGGGCAGGGGCTAACTCCAACTGGTAACTACTGGCACCACAGAGGTTGGGGGTGAGGAGCCAGCCTCTAGCACAGCCCAGCCCCACTGTGCCCACTGCCCACAGCCCCACCTAGTGTGGCCTCACTTCCCAACCACTCTTTGTAGACTTTTCCCACTAATTTAAACCTGTCAAATCACTCTTGACTTCAAGGACTGTACCCAATAATGCCTCCCCCAGCAATCCAAGTGCTTCACAGGTAGATCTTTCCTCCAACCTACCTGCTTCCCCAGCACCTGTGTTCCCAGGAAGTGGCCACAGAAGGCTCACAGGAACAGCTCATGTGGGAGGGCAGGAAACATGGGAACCACACTCTTCTCACCTGCTAACTCCTCCACACTAATGGTGCTCAGGGGACATCTGGGAGGGGTGGGGCAGCTGACCTCGAGGCTCCCCTGACTGGACAGTTCTCGATGTTCTGAGCCTGTGGAGGCTGCTGAGGTCTCAACCACGTTGGATCTTCTGTGACAAGAGTGTGGGTGATGCCAATGGCAAGGCCTGGTGGACAAAGTGCCTCCCATCCAGGACCTACTCAGCCAGCTGGGCTCTTGCTTTTAAGGCCAGCTGGACAGGAAGACATAATGGGCAGGTAGACAGAACAGGTCCCATGTGGCATTGCTGGGCAGTGGTTGGTGGACGGACTGTGAAGAGAACTGGGTGCTGAAGGGTCTGGCCTCTACCTACTGCCACTGGGAGGTCACATCCCTGTGCTTCTTGTTCAGCATGGAGAATGCTGGGAGCATAGGACCACAGCGCCCCTGGACCCAAGGAAGTCTCAGGCTATATCTAAGCAGTGGGCTTAAGACCAGAGGCATGAAGGAGAACAGGACATAAAAGAAGCATTTTATTCTATTAAAACCACCGTTGCTGCATTTGAAATTGTCCATAATTTACAATCTAAATAAAAGCCAGGTAATATAAATAAGGAGAAGGAAATCATTTCTGAAGAAATCAAATTCTGAAAAAGAAAAAAAAAGTAAGTTGCAAACAATTCTGTTATCTCCCCAAATGTAACAAACTGCACAGGCCTTCTTCTGAGCAACCTCAAAACTGGGGGTGGGGGTGAGTGCAGAGGAGGAGGGTCATCCCAGATCCACTGAGTCACCCATTGTCTTCACTGCATGCTCAGCCCAGGTCCAAGTTGTCAGTGGAGTGACAGCCTTGGATATGCTCATGGCCTCTAGCATCTCTTCATCTGTAGCTCCCTGACCAAGTGTACGTCCCGCCTGGGGCAGCCTCATGTTGGTCTCATACAGGCTTCTCCCCTTGTCTGGTCAGTCTTCCCCTCTGTCTCCCAGGCCTTTATGCCATTCTGGTACCAGTCCCCTCTAGATTCCAGCTCACCACGGATGGGGAACAGGGACTGAGGGAAGCCCCTAGGTCAGCGCCTTGGCAGAGCCATCTGCCGAGGAAACAGCCTCCAGCCTAGGGCTCAGGGAGAGGCAGCACTGGGTGTGGTGTCCACTCTGGAAGCCCTGGGGTGAGACTGCCACACAGACAAAGGGCAGGATCCCTTCTACCATTTCCCAAGGGACATATGTGGGGTAGTAGAAAGGGCCTTGTTGAGGAGGCGTCCTGGGTCACAGTGTCTGTCAGTAGCTTGCAATAGGCCTCTCGGCATAGCTGTGCACTGCTGAGGGCTCACAAAGAATTGACACTTTATAATTTGTAGCCAAGCAGCTGCCAACAACTTTGCTTTCTCAAGGGTCTCACATACAAAAGCTCTGGTAGCTGACTCTCACATACAAAAGCCCTGATAGGGCTCCAGCCTGGGGCCTGACATGAAGACTGTGGGGGCAGAAGGCTCTAGGTGGCCTCTGAGGGCAGCACCAAGGACTCTGCATGTCACATGCGTTGCACACACAATGCCCAGCCCTGCAGTGTAGTCAGAGGAGGGTGAATGCCAAGTTTAACTGAAAGGATCAAAGGGGCTTAATGAAATTAGCTTCCTCAAAAATGCCCCATTGTGGCCCTGCTGGCAGCCTGAGGACAGACATTCTTGGGAAAAATGTGTTGGCTCCAAATCTCAAGAATCCAGCTCTGATTTGAAACCCAAGTAAAAGTCTCCACTGAGGGAGGGCCAAAGCCAGAATGAGGGCAGGCCTGTGATAAGGCAGCTGGCCTACCATCCCAAGGACCCCCATCCCCACCAGCTTACCCTCAGGACAGCAGGGAGACGAGAGCATCAAGGAACTTGCTCCGATCCTCAGTTTTCAGCTCAATTACTGAAGTAATGAAAGAAAAACATCTTCTGAGAAGGGAGTGAGAAAAACAAGCAGAGCACATATACTCCTTCTTCCCGACATTCTCAGGGGGAGCAACTCTCTGCTACATTCCATACTGGGCAGGAGCTTCCCCAGCCTGGGATATTCTAGATGACTTGGATTCATCTCTGCATCTGCTGGCTGCACTGGTGGAGAAGCCAGAGCTGTGACCTACCAGGAAGACGCCCTGGGCAGCCAGCGACCAGCAATAACAGCCAACAGAGGGCTGATGTAACAGCTTGGAACAGTACAGACTCTCTGTAGAGAGTCAGGCTGTCCCACAGTGCCCAGCAGATGCCTGTCCCCAGAGGGTGTGAGAGGCCCAAGGTGGGGCAGGAGTCCACTTTAGCCTGCTCTGTCCACTATCACAGCTTCAGTGTGGAAGGGACCTGCATCTTGAAAAGCTATCAGGCTCAGCCAAGCACGTGAACCTTCATTAGAGCAAAACCAGGCCCTGGAACAGAACTGGCTTATCTTGACAATGGTCCGTGGCCAGGTCCATCCAAGGAGGTACTAGCCACGGCTCACTCCATACTCCTCATCCAGGGCTCTCTAGGCCTTGGCAGAAACAGCACAACTCCCAGCCCCAAATCCTCCCTTGTAGAATGGAGGTGGGACACTCTGCAGGCCAGCTGTAGTCAATCTCTCCTACCTCATGGGGATGAAAGAGAAAGCAGGGGCTGTTGCTCGGAGGGACCAATACCACACAGCCCTGCAGTGTAACTGCTCTGGCACAAGGAAGCAGGCCCTGAGACAGCCAAGGCAACCTGAACACAGACTGGGTCTCCCAGGACAGAGAATCAGGAGGTACTGATGTAAGAGAAGGTCCTTTCTGAGAAATGCAGATAAAATACTGAGGGGTGTTATAGGTTCAACTGTGCCACCCAAATTCCCATGCTGAAATTCTGACTTTCACCCTCTCAGAATGTGACCATATTTGGAAAGAGGGCCTTCAAAGAGATGAACAAAGTAAAACGAGACCTTCAGGGTGGCTCCCAATCCTGTGTGCCTGGTGTTCTTCTAAGAGGATCAGGATATAGGTACCAAAGAGGGAGGACTAAGTGAAGTTACAGGAAGACTACAGCCATCTAGCCAAGGTGAGAGGCTGTGCAAGGAAGCAATCTGGCTGACATCCTGTTCTCAGGGACCCAGCCTCTAGGGCTGTGAGAAAACAACCTGTGTAAACCACTCAGTCTAGTGCTCTGCAGCCCTACCACACTAGAGTGAGAGGAGTGGTGATCTGTTTTACTTTAAAATGTTAAGAATAAAAGACAAACACAGCTAAACATGGACCATCTTCTAGGTTGGCATCTGGGGAAGCTACTGCCAGTCTGTACCCTCTCATTCACATGTATGGGGCTCACCCAGTGCATTAAGAAGGGCCGGGGTCAAGTCCTCATATTGGGATCATGCTGTGGCCTCAGGTAGGACTTTCTGCAATGACACAGGCTCTAGCCTGAGACATGGTGGCATGTTCAGGTTGCTACAGCCCTGCTGTTTCCTTGCCCACTCCAGGGCACTGATGACACGACCCTGAGTGGTGAGGCTGGGCCTGGAAGGTGCCTACAGCCAGTCCCCTGATCATTTTGTAGGCTGTAAGGCCACACCTAGAGCTCCCTGAGCCTCTGGGAGCAGCTTTGCCTGGCCTGGTTCTAGGAGAACAAGAGGGCTGCTGGCCAGGCTAGGCTAATCAATGCCAGCTTGCCTAGTTCCTAGGCCATCACTGACCTTGAAAGATGGCAAAAGCGTGGCCAAACACCTGGGACTCTCACCTGAGAGGTCAAAGTGGTTGTGCAGTGTCCGGGAGTTAGTGCTTTCTGCCGCCTTCTCAAACGCTCGTCCAAAAAAGCTGCAGACACAGGACAGACATTTCAGAGGCCAGGCCACCTCCAAGGGGCCCTTCCTTCCCCCTGACAGTGGAGGCCAAACATCCTTCAACTCAGGCACAGGGCTGATAGGCCAACGTGCAGATAGCCCCAAAACCTTCCCATCCCTGCCATTCCTGGGTAAGTGGAAGCTGCTCACTTCTTTCTGTCTGAGCTGTCGGTCTCTGGGGGAATGCCCACCATGGTCACTGTGCCCTGCTCCACACTCAGGGGGGCAGCCATCACCAGAGGCAGCAGCTTGCAGCGTCGGTTCTTTGTCTACAGAGATAAGGCACCCTCAGTTACAACACAGCCACATCCAGCTCCATGGGTAGCGTACACCATCTAGCACCCAGGCTCCCCAACTGTTCTGGGCCACTCCCCCAAATCCTCCAGGGACTGCCCGTCACCAGAGGAGACGCTAGAGTCCCCATGTGGTGCTCTGGAACCAGATTCCTATTATCTGCCAGCCTCACCCCAATGTACCTTGGCTGTTCCCCATCACCTCCTTCAGGTCCTCCTGCAGCTGTCACCTCCTCCAGGAGCTGTACCTATCCCATTTCTTTCTCTAAAACTGCAGGCCCTCACTCTTCATGTGGTCTGCTCACCTGCACGTGCATTCCCTCAGGATGGAGACTGGGTGCTTTCCTCACTACTCAGCCCACAGCTCCCACACCCTTTAACCTATGTGACTAAAACTCCCGATTTGTGTGGACTGAGAAGTGAACTGGAGGGTAGATTACCCTGCCAAACGGTCTAACAGGTAGTAGTTACTCACTCAGTGTCTTATTGAATGAATCCTGTGAAGTGGCTATTTTTTTACCCATTTTGTGGAACAGGAAATGAGACTCAGAAATTAGATAATTCACCTCACATCACACAACTGATAAATGAGGGGGCTGAGATTTGAACTAAGCCTAGAAGACTTCAAAGCTTAGGTCTGACCTCTAGTTCATCTTCTGACATTACAGTGACCCCTTTGTAGTCACTGAAGATTGGTTCCAGGACCTCCATGGATACTACAGCCCTAGGAGGCTCAAGTCTCCTACATAAAATGGTACAGTATTTGCACAGACCCCCTACTAAATACCAGCTGAGTTTAGGACTGTGTTCCAAGCCAAGGCATGTTAGAACATATAAAAGATAAACTCACACGTAGAAAGTTAACCTAGTAGACAAACTTGCTAGAAAGCAAGTCAGTATTACAACCAACTCCATCTTTTCTTGCTCTGCCATCTCTGAACATAAGCCCTAGCCCCACTACTCTGTGTAGACCTCTTTCTACTTTTTTGAGCCACTTGGATAGCAAATGATGTAGTCAGAACTTGTGGGAAACCAGAGGCTCCTAGAGATCAGGTGAGGAAAATACAGCTCAGAAAACACAAGGGATATTCCCAGCCCCTGCTGCTGGGGAATAGCGATGGGCTATAGGGCTCTGTCTTAACACCTGGTTCAGAGCACTCACCAAGCATCTGCCCTCCTGCACACATGCCCCACCCGCCTGGCTCCTCACCGAACACACAAAGGACTTGAGCAGATGTCTGCTGAGCAGGCTCAAGGATACTGGCTTGGAGAACAGCACAACATCTGGAGTGCCCTGGGACAGGGATACAAAATGTCAGAAGAGGTCACTAATAGGCGTGGCTTGGTGTGAAGGCATCAGGGGAAGCCTGACCTCCATGAGGGAGCAGTAGAGGAAAGGCCCCTGGGAGATAACAAGGTTGGTGCAGAGGCAGCTGGCAATGGTCTGCTGGGTGGCTTGTAGTTTCTTTTTGGCGAGTTCCAGGCCCATGTATAGCTTGTCCAGGTTATTCCTGTAACGGCAGACATTCACCTTAGACACTACTTGTCAGGAACTCTTGGTAAAATACAAATAGATCACTTGGTTCCTGGTTCAGGAAGAGATTTGGGAGTAAGAGTTTATCTTCTCTCCCCTTGAATTCCCTTTCATATGAAAGGAAGGAATAAAAATAAGTATAAACCCAGAGTGATAAAAATGAGAGGTGGGAAAGGGTGCTGGCATCAGAAGATGAGACTGAAGATCCTGCAAAGGTCACAGGAAGGTGCCTGGGGGGCTCTGACAGAGGGGAGGCCTGGGCAGGGGGTGGGGGAGCATGGGGGACTTCTCCATCCAACAGATAGATGTTTATTCTTCCCCTCCAAAAGGGCAGGCTCCCCTCTGAACACATGAAAGAACCTTCTAGTCGGGTCTTCAAGCACAGCTTCTATGCCCAGCAGTTAAGAGTGCCAATATATCATAATTGGCAGCCTATTTGCCAGTATGAAGTGATGCTTTGACCAGCAGGTTGTGCCCAGATACCCAGAGCTCGGCCAAGATTCCACAGTCCCTTCCTGAAAATGAAAGACACAGACTATTCAGGAAACACCTGTAGCCTAAAAAATGATCCTGGGAGAAAACATAATTTAGAAAATAAAAAACTTGAAATCTACTATCTTCAGAGATTTGGGCACCTATTACATTCCTAAATCAAGAACAGGATTCTACAAAAAAGGAACCATCAGAAACTAGAAAGTGTAGGTGGAAATTAAAATAACTGCAAAAAAATAAAATATTCACTCAAAACCTAGAGGATAAAATCAAGAAAACTCTCCTTAAAGTCTACAACAAAACAAAGCCATGGAAAATGAAAGGCAAAAATGTAAGACAGAATATCATTCCAGGAAGTCCAGAAAGCAAGATTAAAAAACTGTGTGTGTGTGTGTGTGTGTGTGTGTGTGTGTAGGGAAATATTTAGTAAAGAAATAGTGAAAAAAAGCACTCCTGCAGCTGCAAGACCTGGGTCTACAGGTTGAAAAGGTCATTTGAGAACGCAGTGAAATGCATGGAACAGGATGTACCTATGCAAAGCACTAAAAAATTATCGAATACTGAAAAACACAAAGGAGATCCTGAAAACTTCTGGAGGTAGGGTTGGGATGGGGCATTTACAAAGAAACAAGACTTAAAATAGCCCAGACTTATTATTCACATGACAGCACTAGCTGCTCAAAGATGGGGGCACAATGGAATCCACAGTCTCCAGAAGTCCCCTTCTATCTGGAGTTCTATATGAGCTCAATCAGAAATCAGATGAGGATAGAAAAATGGTATTGTCAGATACAGAACTCAGAAAGTTTGCTTTACGTTCACCCTTTCTTTGAAAATCAGTCCAGCGTTGTATTCTAGTAAAATGATGGAGTGAATGAAACAAAGACAAGGAATGCTAAGAACCGATGGCTCTAAGTATAGAGATGCAGACAAGGGACTTCTATGGTGACAATGGGTAGGCAGCCTAAACAGCCAGGTTAGGGTGGGCCTGAGCTACATCTCCAGACTCCAAAACATAAGCAGGTGGGAAAAGACCACCAACCAGCTACAAGGTTATTATATTGTCAGCATCAGTGTGCAAGTAAATAGAGGTGGTAAGTCATAAAAAGGCACTGGAGAATAGTGGCCAAAACTGAGAGAAGCAGGTGAGTCGTGGCCCAAGGCAATGTGCAAGCAACCAAAGCAAACTGCAAGGGGCCATGCTTAGGGTATAAGGGGCCAGAGAAGTCTACCCCTTAGAAGTCCCTCCTGATCCACCAGAATCTGTATTTCTGTATTAGGCCTCTCACTGAGGACAAACTGCTGAGAATGAAGTAACAATTAAGCAAGGATGAAACAATAAAAAAAAGCAAGGAGAAAGTAGAGACAAAAATGTATTAGGGTTGTCCTGGAGGTACTAGTCAGGACAACTAGACAAGAAAACGAAATAAAAGGAATTCACATTGAAAAAGAAGAAGTAAAACTACATTTCAGATGATATGATCTTACATACAGAACAGCTTAAGGAATCCATTTTTAAAAACTACTAGAACTAGGGCTGGGGTGCAGCTCAGTGGTTAGAGCAAAATGTTATTGTTGTTGCAGGCTCTGGGTTTCATCCCTAGCCCTGAGAGAAAAAAATCTAATAGAACCAATAAATGAGTTCTGGAATATTGCAGAATATAAGATCAACATACAACAAGAAGTTATTTTCCACACAATAGAAATGAGCAAATCAAGAATGAAGTTAAGAAAATAAGTCCAGTCAGGCACAGTGGCACATCCCTGTAATCCCAGCTGCTCAGGGAGCTGATGTAGGAGGATCAGAACTTGAGGCCAGCTAGGCAACTTAGTGAAACCCTGTCTAAAGACTTAAGAGGAAAAAAAAAAATGAGTATGTAGCCTTTTTAGCGATACAGTGCTGGCATAGACCTTGTACTGAATTGCCAGTACTGAAAAAAAGGGAAAGTCCAAATATTTGGAAGTAAGTTTAACAAAAGTACAAAGTTTATATTTTTAAGATGGTAATGCTCTCTAAATTAATTCATAGATTCTACACAGAAATTGACTTCTTTGCAGGAATTAACAAGCTCATAATTTATTTGGAAATTCAAGTCATTTAGAATATTTATGTAGAAATTTATCATTTCTTTAAACTCATTATTTCTTTAAATTTATTTGGAAATTCAAGTCACCAAAATTATTTGAAAAAGAAAAAAACGGGACAACTCATATTTTCCAGTTACAAAACTTGCAACAAACCTACAGTAACCAAAACAATGTGATACTGACATAAAGATAGACATATAGGTGGATGGAAGAAAATTGCAGTCTGGAAATAATGCTTTGTATTTATAGTCAACTGATAGTCAATGTAGATTGGGGAGACAAATAGTTTTCTCAACAAATGGTTCTAGGACAAGTAGATATGCAAACACAAAAGAATTAAAATGGAATGGGGCTGGGGATTTAGCTCAGCGGCACAGCGCCTGCCTGGCAAG